CATAATCGTCACCATCATCGTCATCATCATCGTCGTCATCTTCACCATCATCTTCTTCATAATCGTCATCATCATCGTCATTAAGACAAATGCTCTCACACCCTGGTTCTTCGGAGCAAACTCGCCTGGAATATATGCCAAACATTGTCATCATCAACACAATTACTGTTATTTTTTGTTTTTTTGTTAATAATAATAAAAATAATAATTCTAACGATAATAATAATAATAATAATAGTCATCGTCATCAATAGCATCATCATCGTCATCAAATTTTTATCTGATATCAGATAGCCAGTACTTTGCAAACAGCTGGGAAAAAAATTTATACACGCACACACAAACCTACGTACACACACGTACACACACACATACATACATACAAACAAACATAAACGTACATACATACAATCTACACCCATGCAAACATACATACATATATACATACATACGTACAGAATGTCAGACTCAATAAACATACCTACAATTCTCAAATGTTTTTGTATTGTTTGCCATTTTTAAGCTGTCCATTTCGTTTTGTTTGTATGCTTTGTATGTTTGTATTTTTTGTATTTTATGCGCAAAAAATTTTTCAACTGTATCTGTTTTTTAATTGAATTTGAAAAATCTCAATAAGTTAAAATAAAATAAATAAAAATAGGCCACTGAAATGAAATGGAAATAAATATACAAGCATTTGGAAGCGTTTTAAAAGTATGGCCAACATTATGCTAAACATCGGCGCATCTATATTAGATAGATTTTGATGTTTTTGTTTTTTATCTGAAGTTAATTGTAAATTTTTAGTAGTTTCTAAATTGATGTTGTTGTCTGTAGCTGCTCTCACACACACACTCACTCAAACACACACGCGCGCGCACACATACAAACACACATACAAACACACATACAAACACGCACACACACATACAAAAATTTTTTTCGTTTTTCTCCTCTCATCATGGCCCATCCTAAACACTGTTAGATATTCAACGAGATATCTGATTGATTGACCTGATATATTGTATACATACATAAACACACATACACACACATACGTACATACACACGTACACACACACACACACACACATCCATGCAAACATATCTTGTTCCGTATGTAGAGACATATCAATTGAAAGTAATGGTTTTATAACATAAACATACATACATCTTTGTTTAACAAAATAACATAAAATTGAACTCTTCTGTTTAAAACATAAACATACATACATCTTTCGTAAGAGAATCTTTCAATCTGTCTCTGACTTTTTTTCTTTGTCTGCCTGTCTGTCTGTCTTTCTACCTCTCTATTTGTCTTCAATTCATTTTTACACTCACATTTTCATCAAAAAATTGAGGTCATCGTGAAGATAAATAACAAGATCGGAGTGAATTGACAGAGAAAGGGAGAAAAAGAGAAAAGAAGGAAAGAAAGAAAGAACTGAAGTAGAGAGAGAGAGAGAGAGAGAGAAAGAGAGAGAGAAAAAGAGAGAGAGAGAGAGAGAGTAGTAACTGCAGCAACGACACAGGCAGGCAGTGGACCAAGGCGAGCGATAATGCAGCCATGTTATGCACGGCTTTGAAAAGAAAAATAATGCTCAAATTATGCCGTAGTTCCAGTGACATTTATGCATTGCTGTTCATCATAACAGGCTGGCCAGTGCAGGGGTAGGATTCTCGCTTAGAGTGCCAGAGGTCCTGGGTTCAAATCCCACACGAGCCCTATTTTGTTTTTCATCTAATGTTTGGGTTAAAGGTCAAAGGCTGACAGGGTTCTCTCGTAAATATCATGCCAAAGATCTTTTTTTCCGTGTTCTAAGGTAATTTTATTTGTAATAAGAACGTGCCTTTGTGCGAACAAACATACAAAATAAATGTTTGTGCTTGCACAAACATACATACACACACATACATACACACATACATACTGACATACATACATATGTATGTAAGAACAAATATACAAGCCAGCAAACAAACAAGCAAACGAAACGTAAATACAAAACAGAAATATTTATACAAACAAAGGCAAAGGAGAGCGCATACACAACAATTTGTTTTGAGCGCAAAACGATCTAGCGGGAAAAACTAAATGACAAAAAAATAGACA